TTTTTGCAATTTATAATATTATGGGATATTAGAACATATTTTCCCTGGCACAAAAATCTGTTTGTCAAACCCACTTTACTCTAACATATTTTCTTACTCAAAAACCAGTTCTTACTCAAAAGGGATATTAGATCATAATGCATTACTTACATTCAGAAGTAGAAAAAAAAGGAACATACTGTACAGAGACTGCATATAACAGCCATGTGCTTGAAGTATGGGTATAGGTACATACTTTTTATGTATATAACTGGAACCATATACTACTACTGCCTCTCCACACTACCATCCAACAAAATTGGATTTAAAATTAAAGCAGAATCAATAGCCTCTAGCCTACAGCAAAGATACTAGAAACAAAAACCAATATTTCCAAATATCTCCACTATCCACACAACATCCAGCACAAGAAACTTTTCCATTTGGCAAAAACCCATTTGCAACCCAGTTACCCTCACCTCAAAAATAACTTTAGTCCAGTTTCATGCAATCTTCTAACTCAGTTACCCCACAGTTCTGATTCTTCATTAGTCCAACATTCCACCAATACAAGCATGTCTAATACTAATTAAATAGAAACAACTGTCATTTCATATACCCATTACAGGCATCAGAGTTTGACTACATTTTTACAGAAACAAACACATTCTCTAAAACCAAACACGATGGACAAAACATTCCGAGAAAAATCAAGGAAATGCGTGAATAATAATTCATCAAACAGAGAAGAAGATCAGATTGATTGAAGAAGAGAGAGAAACTCATAGCTAACTTTGGAGTCGGAGAAAACGAGAGAGTTGTTCTGATTCTGAGCGTCTCTTCTCTTAGCGGTCAGCTCAGAGCTCACTGAAACATTTTCAGAGTTTGATATCTTGAAACAAGTGTGTGTTCTTGCCACCATAAATAATCCTTTAATGTGAAAAATGTAGGAAATCGGAATGGGTGGGTAAATGACATCAAAAGCAAGCAACTAAGCTTTAGTCAACCTCAGTGTTAATCCAAAAAGGCATCGTAAACAAATGAATTAGTATCATATGCATTGTGAGAATCAGCTCAAACAAACTAGAAAACCTTAAAACTGAAACCAAAAAACCAAAACCCAAATAAAATCTTTAGAAATAACCTTTATTACTTCTCATAATTCTCCTATGCAAGA